AAAGGTTAAGATATTTGACAAGTGGGACACGATCTGCAATCACGTAGAATTATTTCAATTGGAACATTTGACAATAGAGACAAGAAAAGAAGTCTTCAACCGTACATACACTGTAATTAATGTCATTCTGTGACAATATTACTGTGTGATAAAAATATGTCGAGTAATCAAACGTTTTTTAAATTTGTCATTTGTTTCAAAGCTTTTAACATCTATTTACAATGGTCTTAGATTGGAATGTTCGCGTAGCAATTTTCTCACCGAAGGTACAATTTTATCTAAATAAGAGGTAAAATAGCGATTGTATTGCAAAGGAAGATTTTTAAAATACGTTTCGAAGGTCGTTTAAAAAATAATACAGTCAAAACTGTCTTTGCAGCCACTCGAAATCAACGGCCACTCGCGGTCAGCGGCCACTTTCAGTCCCCCCCCCCCCCCGATGATTTTTCCTATATATTTTAACTGGAATAAACGGCAACCTATGTAACGCGGCAAGCGGCCACTCAAATCCTCACCCGCAACCTTATTTACACTGTAATAGGCGGCCATTTCGTCCACTGTCGCGATTCTCTTTTGTATTGTAACAACGTGAAAAGGAATTTTAGTTTTCCCACAGGAACTTTGTTTTTCCCATGGGAATTTTCTTTTCAAAGATGAATATTTCACATGTCATATGAGATTCACCTGCAACAAATGTAGTTTAGAACTCTGTGAGTAATGTTCTACCGTATGGTATATGCGGTTTTTATGTAAAGTAAGAATTCTGCTTGCGTCGATATGCCACTTTGTCCGGCACAGTTTGTGAATAGTAAAATTAGTTTTATGCTTCTTTACTTTATTCACTATCCTATCTTCAAATCTTTCTCTGTCTCACTCTCTCTCTCTCTCTCTGATTTTATTATTTTATTAGTAGCAATGACAATTATTTAATCAGATCAAAATTAAATATTCTCAAGTTTTCATTTGCACTTCAAAGCAATTTTTCCTCAGTTAAATTCGTTCATTTATAAAGCCATTTGACACTAGTTCATAAAAAAAGAATCACATACATTTTATCTTTTTTGCCCCTACCTTTATCCGATCAAAATGTTTTGTATTGATTGAATATCCAAGATTATGTTATATAAACGTCTTTAGAATTAAATTAAAATAAAATAAATTTTTGACAAACTTTGATAAGATTTTGCATTTCTTATTTTAACATTTTAGCCCATAGCTTTCTCTATTCTTTTTTTAAAAATATATTTACGAACATTGCAAGATAGAGAAATTTCTTCTTTTCTCTTTCAACTGTCGTAAAAAGTTTTTATAATATTGGTAAAAATATATGAAAATCACTCTTTAGTCTCTTTAGCCCTCCTTGGGAGAATATCCCTGACGTGACTTAAATAATACGTCTTGTCTCATTCTTCAAAGCTTATCTGCATGATGAAATCATGATCTTTCAATTCAATACAGGGTTAGAAGATGATGAAAATGTGGCTTGATGAGCGATTCTGGTATATACATGTGTCTTACTATAAAATAATCATTAAATACATCATTTATTTATCTTGGTATATGAAATCCATATGGTTCTAAAGACTGCAAATGTCCTCAAAAAATCTTGGTATATCCCTATTCTCTTGTATATTCTCAAAGATAGTTTGTACAAAGTAAAATCAGAGAAAGATAGAAAGAATGACAATTGGTAATGTGCACTGGTAATGTGTATTGTAACAATGTCAAATTTTAATTTAGGGTTTATCTCTAATAAATTTTCATTGACAATTAATCATTTTAATATTCGTTTATCTAATTTGAAATTCACGTATTTTAAAAAAGGTGTATTATGTCGATTTTAAGTGTGCCCTGTATCTAGACAGTAAAAAAGTACGTAATGTTCTAACATTAGTTTGACTTAACAATTCAAGGTTAAATACATTTATCAAAGTGGCATCAAGCTTGTTTCTAAATATTGGGTATTTTTAGTCATCTTTTGGTTCCTGTCCCGGTATTATTATCAGTAACTGTTTGGGGTTTCTGGGATATTAGTCAAAGCAATCATTAGAACCAGTGACCTCAGGCGGAAATACGTCGACTTTCCGCAAAACAGTAAATGTAACAATTACGAATAGGTGTATTGAAACCTTTCCCTGTTATTCCGGAAAAAAAATTGTATAAAACAACTCACTTCTCATGAAAACATTTTTTTTCCAAAAAAGTACATTTATCAAACTATTTCAGCCATGTTATTTACTTTACAGATTGGCACTCTCAAATTTAATATCGCGTGTTATGAATCTATCGCAAAAGCCATTACAAAACGAATGATCGATAGATCGAAATGTTCAAATATGAAAATACGTTTAACTTTATACATGTACTTATAAAGATTTGGTGAAGGTCTTATCTCTAATGTGTTATTTGAACGCATTTTTAATCACTTACACTTTAATATTGATATCGATGAACGTTTACTTGTAAGCCGTGGATAATGATGAGAAATAACAAGGATAGGGTAGCCAAGCAGTCAACATCTCCCAAAACAATTTTTTTTAAATTTTGTTCAGGTTTTTTTGAAACATAATATGCTAATTCCTCTATGATATTTTTTTCATTTTTTTTTTTTTGGGGGGGGGGGGATACATCTTATCTTTTGAGAGAAATAAAATTAAACAAAACAAGAAAGGATAGTTTTGTACTCCAATAACTATCAGAAGTACAACTTTTGGAAACCAATAAAATAATCTATGTCCCAATATAACTGTGAGTAGGTTTGTTGTAGGAATCCTTCAAAAGTAGAGAAAGTAAGTATACATAATTAATTTATTTTACAGGGGTGAAAATATACAGGATCTTTATACAAATGTAAATGATACCACTTTCTTAACGTAATGGACAGAATTTTAATGACTGAGTTTGATACTTTCCATCTCCTGAAATATATAAACATTTACATTCTATTTCTTATATGCTTGCAATATGTTAACGTTATGCTTACATTGAAAGATTTTCAAACTTTGACCATATATATACGGGCAAATACCAGTATACGAAGGATGATCAAAAAGTTAGCGAACTAATTGAATAACTTCCATAAAAGAAATAAAATTAGATTTCAATGTTTATTAGTATTTAAAATTTTAATGCACATCTGCCACCGTTCTGCCCATGCGCGAATCACGTGATCCAGCGTTCTGTACATAGAAGCTTGAAAAATTTTCCGAGCCTTATATTTCTTACCATGCAGGTTATTTTTTATAACAAGAATTGTCCATTTGTCATACATGGCCAAATCTTGTCAATAGGATGGGTTGATAAGGATATATTTTCCCACAATGAGCATGGTGACCATCACAACCCGACTTCTCTGTCGTTTTTCCATTATGACTAAAGTATGGGCGCCTTCTTTTTATCATATCTGATATGTTTAAAGTCTAAAGTAAACGGTACTTCAGGGATTTAATAATCATAATATTCTTAAAATATTCAACTATATTTCTAACTGTTACTTGGCGATCTTTTATAACAAATTGCTCAACTTAGGTCACATCTCTTCCCCAGCTTACTTTCACTGGGCAAAAGAACAAACATCATTTTTAACCATCCCCCTTCCTTCACTAAAACAATCAATCCAATTAATTATTGAACTTCTGGCAAGTCTTTAGTCTTCATAAACCTTGTACAAAGAAGATGGGCGTGTTTGGCGTGTGATCTGCAGGAATAAGGCGTACGAAACATTTCTAGTTTAAATGTCTACGATTTGGTCGGCTGACCACAGCTGGACATACTTTATAAAGTTACGCAGATGGGAAAATGTTACATTTAGTTTGAAATACTTTGTCAAATTTAATATAGCAGTCCGCTTATCTTAATAATTACTACATGTAAAACTTAGTAACACTTCACATAAATAATAAACACCTATAGGGTAGAGTTAAATGCAATTACAAGTACATGTGCATGTATATATTAAAGTATCAGTAGGTTGGAAGAATTACTTTCGCTTTCGGTGCAACAGAACCAGAATTTATCTATTTGAAAATAAATCAGTACATAAAATTAAACTGACAAAAGAATTGATTGTTTGCACTAAAAAAAAAAAAATCAAAGCTCCATGCAAGGATCGAACCAAAAATATTTCATTTTCATTGTACTGGACGGGTAACGCATACTACTGAGCTATCACCGCTACTCACCCTTTATGGTTTTTAAAGTGCAAATGAAGCACCGCATTTACAGATTGGAATTTTTTTGGAAAAAGTTCCCTTTTATCGTCTCTGGGTCTTTTCTCCATTTTTACAAATGTTTGTTAGTTTCTTTGAATTAAAATGCACAAAAATAACGTTTCAAAATCATGCAGAGATAACCCAGAGATAGCAAATTTTTAGAAAAACGTGTTTAAAAATGTAACATTTCGTACCAAATGACTCATCTAGCCAATTTTCAAGTTCTTTTTGAGCAAATCAAAATACAAAATCGGGAAAATATTTCCTTTTCCTATTTCACAGGAACCCGATACATCAAAAGAATGCTAAAATTTCATGTGACAGCTAAATGAGATTTTCACTTTTCAAGTGCGCCCAGATTCCTGCCGAATGCCAATAAAAAACGTCCTCGGTCTTATTACATGTATATGCTAGTGCAAAGGAATTTCCAAAATATACGTTAAACTTTACAGCCTTTCGTTGTTCGAGTACGACTAAGTCAGCCATTTTTTGTTACAAGTCACCTACATATTGACGTCATTTTCACATCGTGACGTCACAAACATGGAGTAAAACATTACGTTACATCTGCTATTTATAGAACATGGTTATGACTATTTGTGTGCCAAATTTCATTCTGATTTGAATAGTGGTTTTTAAATTATTTGCGAACTATCTCTATAGATAGTTCGCAAACTTTTTGATCACCCCTCGTATCTCATAAATATACATAAACCATTTTAATGCCTTCCTTTGACTCAGAACAATGGATGCTTTAAGTGATTTGGTGAAATAGGATAATTACATGTATTATGTGAAGTCAGAGGGGTTGCAAGTTTTACTTTGCGTTTCACATCTTTTTATACTATCATCCCAAATTAGATTATGATTAGTCTCGGAACAATTTCTAGGAAAGATATAATTATGCGAGCACGTCACGTAACCATGACAAGTGTCACATGACTGGTAATCCCCGTCCTCGACTCTCAAACAGCTGTCAACGCATGCCCCAGTAGTGACATTTAAACTGTTATTTACACAGCCACCTGAAAATACGAAAAAAATCATCATACCGATACCTTATCGTGAATATCTTTTGAATGTTTTCAATCTATGATTTATTTTAGGGGCCGGGTGGGGTTGTTATAAAATGAAAGAGAAACTTGAGTCATTAGTAAAAAAAAAAAAATAATAATTACTATCATATATAATTAAATTGTTTATATTGATACCGTTAGTTCTAGAAAAAAAAATAAACATACCTCCAATTCTCGATTCAATGACTGCTACCAATTCGTCTTTGAGATCTTTTAGTAAATCTTTCATCATGTCTTCTAAATATGTTTTGGTTTGATTAGATTGTTCTTTTATTACCTCCTTCACATCTGAATTCGACGTTTTAGTATGATTAGATAATACTTCCATAGTGTTTGCAATGTCCTCCGAAGAAGATTGTAATTGGCTAAAGGATGCTTCCATCATGTTTCCTACTTTATTGATCGAAGTATTTGTTCGATTCGACATTGCTTCTATCATTTCTCCAATTTCTTTGAAAGACCTTTTTGTTTTGTATGATAGTGAAAGTATATTTGCTGTCAAATTTGAATTTGTCAATAGATTCATCTCTGTGATATTTATAACTTCGCTTGTTTTTTCAACTTCTTCACGTTGATTCTCAAGAAGTATTCCTAGTGAGTTGTTATTGCCTACGATAAAGGGAAAAAAAGATGCACTGACGCATTAAAGATGAGTATCAACTATTCCAAGATTTAGAATTCCAATCGTTTATGTGGCGTTTTCATAATTCTTTTACAAGTCAGACACCTATTCTTGCAAAGAAAATTTGATTTTAGGGTACAATTTCGAACGAAGGGCAAGTGTATATTCCAATCTCAAAATTTGAGAAAAAAAAATTATACACTAAAATATAGCTTCGTGAAACATGAAAAATTTCTTAAGAATCCCAGAAATTTGTCTCCAGTTTAGGTACATGTAGGCAATATTTAATCTTTTTTTTAATTTTAAAGAATTTTTATCCCGTTACATTGGATGGCATCGATTATATAGAAAATATACAGGATATAGTTTGATTTTTCATCTTACATAAACTACCAGACACTAGTTGATCAAATAATTGATCAAATCAAATTATCAATGAATTTACATTACATGTATACAACATGCATACATGTATACACTGCCCTATATCTTACTTTTATAAAAACTAGAGAATGCACAGCGACCACCATGGTAAGCAATAGCGCAAAAAGTAAGTCCAAAATGCCATAAGAATACTTATGATTTTTTTTTAAGATATTCTTTCTGAAGATTTCAATCCACATAAAGTTATCAATATGTAGAAGGAAAACAAAAACAAAACACAGAAAAAGGTTTGTGAGTTCATTACATTGGAAAGGAACTTTTAAAACATCTTTCAAAGGACAAGATGACAAATCGTCAAATAATTATGAAATTATTAGTTGTTAATATAAATATATTAACAATCGCAAACGGGAGATGCAAAATGAATCCCAATAAATAAGTGCACATAATGAAGAGCAAAAGACTTTCATACACTCAAGTAAAGATAAAGTCCAACGAAACTCTTGTTTGTTTGTTTGTTTGTTTGTTTTTTTTTTGTTTTTTTTTTTTGGTTTGTTGGTGCGATGTACTTTGTTTGTTTGGTGTGTCCTTTACTTACAAACAGTGCAAATTAATGCAGAATATCGTGTGATATGGTTATCATTCTAAATTTGCTATTTAACAACATGTCGAAATCGTCATTTTTTTCTTTCTTCAAAAACTGCTGATTCTACTTTCACAAAAATGAAAAAAAAAATGAGGTTTTTAGAATTGATAATTTTCTATGATTTCCTTGAAACTATTAATTATAAAAAGGAATTTCAAATGATTTTTTGATCCAGATGCAGAAAACTAATAGCCCAACCCCAAAAAATGGTAGCCTCGGAGTCGGGCGGTGCTAATTGCACGTCCCTGTATAATTTGCTTACCCTTTAAAGAACTGGTTTGAGTCTGAATTTTTGCATTTAAGTCTTCTATCTTTCCCTGGTCGTTGGCTAGAAATGTGAGCATAAGTGCTAAACCTGTTTATCTTGTCCCGGATTCCCTTTCTTTTCAAATTATCCTTCATATAAAATAAAAATTTAAAAATGCATAAATACTTCACATTTTTTGTTGAAAAAAAAAAAAACAAACAAAAACTAAAATGAAAAAACGTAAAATTGACTTTAAAATACCTTATTATATGGAATAAAGTTTTCTACATCGTTAGCATGGGAGTGCCTTGGTTGCTGAAACTATTTAAGCAATCTAAGTAATAATATTCTGTAGAAATACAACAAACAATTTAATTAGATCTAATGTTTTAATTTTCAACAATTTTAAGTTTAAACTCATCAATGAAAAAAGAAACTTACATTTGAAATTCCAAGTCGAATATTATTCATCAAATGGCCCTAAAAATTAATGTAGAAATATGAGTCCGTGAAGTCTCATGATAAATACCTTATGAAAATTCTCTGCAACATGAAACACGACTTATAAAAAATGTTATCTTTTAAAATCCCACCAGCAAAAAATATTAACTGGTGATATTGAACTGAAGCGTTTATTCCATTAATGCAAAATTCTTGAAATAAAATTTTCTAGAATAAAGAAAATCCCCCCTTTTTTTAATTTCGTCCTTATAAGAAATGAATTAATGTCTTACATTTCCAGTAGGGTTCGAAAAATCCTGCAACAATAAAAAAAAAATGAAATCATCCACTAAAGAAAATATATCTTACAATCATATTAAAAATTAACAGAAGATAAAAATGAAAGCAAGTACTTGCTTTACTCACAGTATATATAGCGGGTATTTGTCTATATGGCGAAATGGGTGCACATTTATTGTGATCACCAAGATCTGGTAAGAATTAAAACAATATAATAACATTGAGTTGATATTTTGATTTATACTAAAAGGTTTCCAATAAATTAAGCATAATTTTATTTCATATCAATGTGATTTTGTTTAAATACTTACTATTGTCATATATTGGCCCACTAATGCCCTGAAAAGTGTAAACCTCTCATTAATTTCTATGTTGAGTCTTGGATACTTCAAACCACACAATATAAGCTGTATTTTTGAAAAAATTATATTTGCTGTAAAAATGTATTATAAGAAAACCAGGTGTAGAAGGAATTTCCCCCGGAAGTCTGTGCACATCACAACTTTTGCTAATGATGAATTTCTACACGTACATGTAGATTGTTGAGTAACCTTAAGTGCAAACTTGTAGCTTGTATCACCTTATTTGCAATTAATTTCAATCAAAGTGAGTGTTTTTCAAAAATCTGAAGATATAACCAACTAATGATTTCTGGAACTAAATGTTTTTCATTGATAGATATTATTTTTTTGAGTGTTTAATGCACTAATCTTGACTTTCAATACGTAATTTGAATATTCATTTTTTTTAAAATTGTATGATATAAATATTTGTATATATTTAATTAAAATATTTTTGTGCAGCATAAATTTAAGTGGATTAGCATACGAAAATTTGAAATTATCCGAAGATAAAGACTCTCGTGTTAAAAACATTTACTAATACACATATTATAACTACTAAAGAAGAAAAGTTACATAGAAGCATACGTGTATTTCTAGCTTATACTGTGTACTTTCATGTACACGTACAATTTGGTTTGTTAAACTTCTGAAAAATATGCATGTAGTTCAACCCTTTATTATCCAAAAGGCAAAAGCCAAGTTTTTTTTTTTTTTTTTTTTTTTTTTTTTTTTTTTATCGAAAGATATATATTTTTTTACTATGGAATGTACAGATAACACTAGAATTCAATTTTTTTGTACAGAACGACAATGGATATTTGGCCTCAAATAGAGAAAATTGAAAGTGTGTGAGAGAGAGAGGGAAGGGGGGGGGGGGGGAGAGGAAAAGATAGAGAAATTGTGAATTTGTTTTTCATTATCTCTTATTAAATCAATTACAGAAAAGCCAATGACCAAAACAAGGTCCTTAGGGCTACAACTCTCACCTGAGTTATCAGGCCCTGCTTTTGAAAGTTTGTGACAAAAGAAAAGAAAACAAAAGAATTTCAATATAATAACAATTTTGCAGATAAAAATGGAGAGCAAAATTTAATTTCTTCGTTACATTTTAAAAAGGGGAAACATTTTGATCCTGGTGTATATTAAATAAATATTGCATGTAATTGAGTGTAACATTGACAATTTTCACCCCAAGAAAACAATTGTCAACCGAGGCGAAGCCGAGAATGAAAATGATTTTCTTGGGGTGAAAATTTGCAATGTTACACTCAACTACATGCAATATTTATTATATTTTACTGAATGTTTTATACAAATACATATTACAGTGAACATTGAGCGCATAAATTCTGCGCTGTCAATATTTTTTTGGAATATCGACCGTCGTCAGGCAATGTTGATTGTTGCTATGCTGAAGGGCGCTGCTTTATTATTCATCGGGTAATAGTGTTTTTTTTAGCAAATGTTTCTCGACGAATGAGATTCAACTTATTATAATTTAGAGGAAAGTACAATTATATTAAATAATATTTTTGTTATTCAAGTGAATCAATAGTGCCAAAAGTGTATCGTGTTTTCATCGCCTTTTTATTTTTTCATATATATATATATATATATATATATATATATATATATATATATATATATATATATATATATATATATATATATATATATATATATATATATATATATATATATATGAAGAAAATAAAAAGGCGATGAAATATATAACATTTTACTGTGTTTAGATCTTTCAGAACATAAAATTTAATTGATAGAGATGTCAGGTAACACATAGGAACTTTTCATATATCCATTTAAAGATTGCTGTGTTCTTCTCATTTCGCATGTTTCAGAACCTCGATATTAAAGGATCGCTAAATAAACACTATGCATGTCAAGATAGTTTATAAATAAAAAGAAAATCACGTGCTAGCTACATAATACTCACTTGTTTACTTTCCTCAAGTCCTTTGTTATTATTTGCCCTAGAAAGAAAAGTATGTCATGTTTTATCAGTTAGGAAGACACATGACAATGTATTTGGAACCCACTGAAACATGTAGAGCTAAGGGTATACAGGTGGCGCACAACTCTGCCGATCCTGGAAATCTGAGTACACAGACAAGAGTTATATTATCTCATGCTTAGGTGTGATCTATCCTGATTTGCAACTAAGAGAATCAAAAAAATAAAAAGGCCTGTATTTGCATTTTTCATTATTTTCATTATAATTCCTCTGTGCTTCAATGTTCACGTAATAAGAAATACAGCTGATAAGGCAGAAAAATACGCAATCATTTCACTCCCCATATTTCTATATGGATACGCTTTAAAAACTTAATCGATACGTATACTTCTTTATTTTCATTAAAATCCATCTGTAACGTAATACTTCATTGAAATCATTTGAGGATTTTTAATATTTTGCGGACAGACAGATGAATATACAGTTTGACGGATAGACGGACAAACAATCAGGGTTCTGACCTAGCTAGTTGCGGTAATAATATAGAACATTATCAGTTTATGAATATACCAAAGTTTTACTAATATCAATTAATGCAATTTGAATATTTTAGCAATAAATTATCTTCTTTTTTTTAAAATATTTATAGTCTGATAACTGCTACGATGTGTGCAAACATACTGAGTAACGCCTATTCCCATATTGTGACTCACTTTGGTAATTGGGTCTTGTATGTTATGCGTAGATATTATTTTAGATTACCTAAGACTTTTATTAACTGAAAACAATGTAAATGTAAATATCATTTCTCAAAAACGTTTTATAAGAAGTCTTGCAAATATTAAACAGAGACAGCGGCAGATCATGAATAAAGACAGAGATAAAACATCATCGTATATTTTTGTTTCAATAATGATTACAGTGTTTTACATTGGTTAATCTTAAAATAATAATCAGTGATAGCTTGATTATATTTTTTAATCTTACCTATCAAAGCCTATGTATCCACTTGTAACTTGAGATAAAGTTGATACCTGTACAAAAAGGTCATATATCTTTTTAATAGTAGGAAATCTTTAAAAAAAAAAAAGATTGATTTTAGTAGTGTGTGTGCGCGCGCATGTTTGATTTTCGTGTATCTTTCCCTTTTCATGAACAAATTGTTTGTTTGATATTTAAGGAAAATGAGAAATCTGACGTGTATTTATAAAAGATAATAAATATATAAACAAGACAATTCAAAGAAGAAATGTAGGAAAGCAAAACCAACACCCCAGTGTTCTCAGTTTTTGGTGATGTGACCAATGTCATTAAATGAAACGAAAATATAAACGATAACAAAGCTCGAGCCAGTGTTGACAAACACAGTTCTTGTTATAAGGTTGTAAAAAAATGCCATTGTTCTTTCATTTTAATGTAAGTTCAAATAAAGAAAAACAGTAGCTACTTTTCAAATAAAAATAGAAATTCAAAATTGTAAACAGAAAAGAAATGCAAGTGTGCCCCTTTAAGATGTGTAAATCGAAGATTGAAGGAACCTTAAATCACTGTATATATGAGGATAATTTATAAACTCTTAAAGAATATTAATGCCCATGTTATACTCACTTGTCTTTCTTGAGGTCTTCTATTATCATTTGCCCTAAAGAAAAAAAAATCAACTACGCTTTTTTTGATGTCCAAGAAGCGATTGATCACAATTGAAGAAACCTACTTCTGCATGTTCGGCATAAGGCTATTCAGGTGGTGCACCACTCCCAAACCTAGATATCTAAGTATACATAAAAGAGTAATATCCCTCTTTGCACGTATTTCTGTGAAATCTTTCTCAATGAGGAATCAAAAATAAAAAAAAAAATCTGCAATGCTTTAACTTGATGAAATGGCGGGCGTGACTTGTCGACAAAGGATTCTTACTCTTCCTAAGCACTTGCATGGCTTGGGGGGGGGGGGGGGGGCATAAAACTTAAAAACATACAAACATGGTTAAACATAACATTCTCACTTCAATGGCAGAGCAATTTCAAAATTAGAACTTTCTCAGTTAA